GGAAGTGTTGTATTAATTTATTTTTAAATGACAAGACTAGTTCTGGAGATACTTTTAAAAGTAAATTTTGCTTTCGCAACCAGGCCAGATTCCAGAGGAATAACTGTAGTAGTGGTTCATTTCACTGTTTCTCCTGTTGGAGTGTGGATGTAATACACAGAGATGCAAGAAACTGTTATAAGTACACTTTCATTAGACCTTTCTTAACTTCCATAGAGGCTAAGGTTTTGAAACAACAGTTCTTGTTTTTACCATAAACATTTTGATATCTATTAAACATGTCTCTTTGGTCTAAATTTATAAATATGTAGTTTCTTCTTTAATCCTGGTTCTTGGGTAAATAGTTACCCACCGCTGTTAATGGGATCAGTGTCTCACTCTGCAGGTGGACAGAAAGTAGTTATTTAGTGACTTGTCAAGTGTTTGTATTTCTTGGTTGGAGACAATTATCTGTAATATGCTGACAATTTTTTCAAGGTGCCTGTTTGTAGAGTGGCTACTGACCAGGGCTTGCAGCCCTTGCAGCTTTCATAGAGTCACAGAATAGTTTGGGTTGGAAGGGACTATTAGAGGTTACCTAGTCCAGTCCCCTCTGCAGTGAGCAGAGAGATCTTCACTAGATCAGGTTGCTCAGCCTCGTGCAATCTGATCTTGAATGTTTCCAGGGATGGGGCATCTACCACCTCTCTGGGCAGCCTGTTCCAGCATTTCACCCCCCTCATAATAAAATTTTTTCCTTAAATCTAATCTAAATCTGCCCTCTTTCAGTCTAATACCATTATGCCTTGTCCTGCATTGCAGCAGGCCCGGCTAAAAAGTCTGTCCACATATTTCTTACAGGCTCCCTTTGGGTACTAAAAGGCCACAGTGAGCTCTCCCTGAAGCCTTCTCTTCTCCAGGCTGAATAACCCCAACTTCTCCAGCCTTACGTGACAGGAGAGGTGCTCATCCCTCTGATCCATCTTGGTGGCCTTCTTCTGGACCTGCACCAACAGGTCTATGTCCTTCCTGTGCTGGGGACCCCAGAGCTGGACACAGCACTCCAGGTGGGATCTCACCAGAGCAGAGGAGGGGGCAGAATCCCCTCGCTCGCCCTGCTGCCCACTCTGCTTTGGATGCAGCCCACGACACCGTTGGCCCTCTGGGCTGCAAGCACACATTGACAGGTCATGTCCAGCCTTTCATCTACTAGCACCTCGAGGTCCTTCTCAGCAGGGCTGCTCACCATCTCTTCACCTCCAGCTTGTGTTGATACTGGGGTTTACCCTGTCCAGGTACAAAACCCTGCACTTGGCCTTACTGTATCTCATGAGGTTCACACCTGGACAAGCTTTGTGAGCTTGTCCGGGTTCCTCTGGGTGGCATCCCATCCCTCAGGCCTTTCGCCCACACCACTCGGCTTGGTGTCATCAGCAGGCTTGCTGAGCATGCACTTGATCCCACTGTCTGTGTCATTGATGAAGGTATTCAGCAGTACTGGTCTCAGTACAGACCCCTGAGGGACCAATGTTTGTGACAGTAATTGTGACCTCGTATTTTTATGATGGTGTCTTACGTATAGAAACGAGCCTGAGGCTATTATTAGCAATATCATACTCCTATATCATTTGTTGTTCTGTAAAGCCTGTTCTACATTTTGACAGTTACATCTAGAAGTGCAGAGTAGGAATGTTTCTCTGTATGTGAAATTTAATCTTGTTTTTAGGTAGAAATTATAATTCAGCATTTGTTAAAATGAAATGCTCCCTGGAATCTGGTATAAGCATTGTGCTGATGCAAAAGGAAGAGCTGAAGGAAGGAATGATATGGACCACAACGTCGTTGTGCTTGGAATTCCTATATTCTTTTTCCTTTGTGTTTAAAGAGCAGTGTGGAGCATCCACCAGTATTTTAGTCCACAGATTAGAATACTGTCAAAGAAATCTAGTTCTGTAATAGTCTGGTGCTTAATTATTTATTTTTTTAAAGAAGGGAAGTATCAGAAGTCATTATTCATGAAATCAGGTAAACTGGAATTTCCACTTAATTTGACTGAAGATTGCAGGTTCCCTGACCTGAAAAACAGCTTTTTACATGTGCTGAACAGAATTATCTTGCTAAGTGTGTTCACGGTGCCAAAACACTGCTTTTAGGTTAAGCAAACATTAGTTACTGACATCACTGATGTGATAAACTGCAGAGCAAGCCTTTTCACCTCTATTTGGCTGATAAACTTTATCAAAAGATGGACTATTTGGCAAAGAGCAATTTTCTGTAAATATATTGGATGTCATCCTCTTTGCTTTGGTCGTTGGTGCAGGTCCATTCTTTAATTGCTGTGATTGACCCAGTATTGAACAGCAACAGATGTGAAAGATATGGAAACTATGTCAAGAGAGACCTTACGCTGCAAAAGGTGCACACCACTTTAATAGATTAAACTCTTATGAAGAGGCAGCTATAAATCCTGGTCAAATGTCTGAGGATTATTTCCCTTCACACTCGCCGACAGAAATTCCATGTTTGGAACTGCTGTAAAATTCTGAGTAATTGCTCAGAAATGTGTTATTAAATAGGTTATCAGTTAAAATTTCTCAATGTGTTTCCTGGCTTGTTTTGCCAAAGTGAAATAGGAAACTTTCCTCTGCCAGACATCCAGTAACAAGTTGTGTAGCAGAGACATTCCTTAAAATATGAAACTTCCACACTTTGGGGAGCTTAGTTAAATGTTTTGTGTAAGTGGTGAAGGAGTAACTTAGCATAACTTTTAAAAGGTGAGTGGCTGCAGGGTGGAGCTTTAATTGGTATCTTGGTAGTTCTGGTTCTGTTGGCTTGACTGGATATACTGTTCTCAAAAGATTGAAAGTGAAATGTGCTGTGTGGAAGGCTTGACTTTTCTGTAGGAAAAGAGGTGTTCAGCAGTTTGCTTGAGGGAGTTGCAAGCATTTGTCTTGGTTGAATTGCCAGTCTGTCTGGGCATTAGTCAGCCAGCAGAATTTGAAAAAAAAAATATATCCAGTCTGTAAGACAAGGACAGTTCTGTTGGCTTACAAAGCTGTCTTCTGTTCTTAGTGTGTAAGTACAGTGTTTTCAATTGGAAAATGAGAGGTGATATTTTTATACTACTGTTTTTCACAGCTAGTTATGAGGAAAGGAGGGAGGTGAGAGCAATCTAGTCTTAAATTTAAAAGGGCATTTGGATATAGTCAGATTTTTTATTAAAACTCATAATAAATCTGGCTTGTTGAAGTACTGGGAGAGGAGGGAGGATTAAGCATCAGTCTGTAAGACTGCATTGGCCTACCTAGGGTCTGTGCTTAGTTGTAGGATTTTATATTTGCCGTTATAACCCTGAGTTCTGATATTCAAAGAGTTACTAACCTTGTGAAAATGTCAATGACTAGAGTTTGGGCTTGCTTTATGTATAAAAATGCATAAATTGCCACTGAGCATTCTTGTTTCAGGCAGTAGCTTTTAGGTCTTACAGTATATTAACAAAGAATTGCCACCAATTTTAGGTTATAAGATGGACCTTTCAAGTTGATGGCTAAAATAACACAAGGCTGCATACTCTGCGTTTGAGTTAGTTTATGTCTGTATTTACTAGAGAACTGTTTCCATTTGGTTGTATTTATTTTTGATGTCAAACATCAGAACATCAGTTTTCTGTAAACTGACTTTGTCTAGGCACAAACCTGAACACTTCAGGGGACTCAAGGAGGTGATCCAAAGCCCTTTGCCGTCGCAGCCCCCAGCAATTTGGAGGTGCACATTCCAGCTGTGTGCTGTGATGTTGTACTTAGAGGAGAGGCATAAGGAACTAAGTACAGGCTTGTGCCTACTGCAGGGTGCTTTGGGATATCAAGGAAAGACGAAACTCTGAGGTTAAACCTATAAAATTCCAAAGGCTTTAAGGGAAAGCTGTCAGTATTACAGCTCTCTGGCTTAGGAGTGTCAATGCTTAATGCGGACGGATTTCACATAAAATGAAGATGTAAGCTACAAAAAGCAGACATAGAGGAAGAGCATCTCAGAGTAGAATAGCTCACATGTGGAACACTGGAGAGCTGCTGTGTTTACACTGATAAGCACAGTGCAGGTTTACTTTGCTAAGTAGGTGTGATGAGAGTAACTGCTGCTGGTGCCTGAGCTGGTTCAGGGTGCTGTATTGTGCTGCAGATGGCTTTGCTTGCTTTCATGGTGACTGATGTGGCTTACATAAGGTTCTAGAAGGACAAGGACTTCAGGACTTCTCCTTGGAGTCTTAAAAACAGGGTTATTTTGAAGAAAATACTATATATTAATCATCTTCTCTTGCCTGTAGAACCGTTGGGCTGGTATGCCCTTACAGCTTTATTAAGAGGCACGTGGGTCTTTGAGTCATATAAATAATTTATCCTGTGCAAGTAACATGTCTGCCCTCTGTGACAGCAAGAAGAGGGATATGTGATTAATCTGCTCCCAAAAAATTCTAAATATAATCTTGGCAGTAAACATATGCCAGTAAAATATGACTGTGTTGCAGTTAAGGATGTTTGCTATTATATAATCTATGTATGCTACTTTTAATATTACTCTTTTTTTCTACTTATAGCTGAATTAAGCTTTGTGTTCACTGATAAAATTGTTCTTTGAAATTAGTGGTAGTAGTTATATTGGTAGTGTAAATGTGTTTCCCTAAGAATAATGAAAAAATGTGTATAAATAGGCACTAAAATAATTATGTTAAGGATGTTTGCTATTATATAATCTATGTATGCTACTTTTAATATTACTCTTTTTTTCTACTTATAGCTGAATTAAGCTTTGTGTTCACTGATAAAATTGTTCTTTGAAATTAGTGGTAGTAGTTATATTGGTAGTGTAAATGTGTTTCCCTAAGAATAATGAAAAAATGTGTATAAATAGGCACTAAAATAATTATGCTTTTTTCAAGAATAATGAAAAAATGTGTATAAATAAAAATAGGCACTAAAATAATTACGCTTTTTTCTTCTTTTTTATTTCTGTTTTCCAGTAAAGTAAAGCAAGGTCTCCTTCCTAGCTTAGAAGATCTGCTCTTCTATACCATTGCAGAAGGACAAGAAAAAATACCAGTTCACAAATTCATAACTGTAAGTTTCCTGTTCCAGAGTGCTTATGAAAGCTAACTATTACAAGGTTATTTTAACAGTCTAAATGCAAGAATGCAAAGCAAACAATTTCTGTTATACATGTTAAGCTGCAGAAAGGAATGTAACTATTTTTCTCCCCCCACACTGTTTCTGTAGTTAAGTAAGAGAATGATTGTACTAGTATTATTAACAACTTCTTTGATGTGCAAAAGAGTATGCTTGAAAGCATCTGTGCTTATGGCAGAGCTGGATAGTATTTGTACTTGTGTAAAATGTAGTTGGACTTCTGTGGATTTCAAATTACATTAATCCTTTGACATAAGATGCAGCCAAAATGGCCAAAGGAAATGCCAAAAGGATCAATAATGTGTCAAAATGTCTGTGTTGATAATGCAGTGGCAGATGTCTCTTGAGTGATAAATAACACCAAGCAGTAGAGAACTTGATTGTAATAGCTTATCTTTTCACTTTAGTAATTATTGTTTTATTGTAATAGGCACTCAAATCTACAGGATTACGTACATCTGATCCTCGATTGAAAGAGTGCATGGATATGTTAAGACTGACCCTTCAGACAACTTCAGATGGTGTTATGCTGGACAAAGACCTTTTTAAAAAGTAAACTTTCTGTCAATAATGTAATTGTATAATTCTGAATGAGTGGTGTCTGTGTGGTACTGACTGCTGTCTTGAGGAGAGGCATAAGGTATATAAATTAATGCAAAATTAGAAAGGGAGTCGAACATATGCTTTTGATGCTCTTTTCATATGAGTTTGTTCTCAGGTCTCTTGCAGCAGACAGTGTGATCTCCCCAAGAGTTTAATATGGTGGTGTTACTTGCATATGTGTCTGACCCCATACTACAGCTCTCAGTCAGATGCCAAATAAATGGATTAATGCAGCATGGAGTATTTAGTATGATTACATAAAACTACTCTCACTGCATCATCAGATTTTAATCTGAAGCTCAGGATGCTGCTCCTGTGTGGTGAGATGTTCGAAGGATGTATGTGGTTAGTTCTAAAAGTAGTATGTGAAAGACCGAGTGAAGTTACAGGATATGTAGAGATGAGAGAAGTGTTAGAAGTGTAGATACTCCTTTGGTCTGTTTTGGAAAAGATTCGTGTGCCATGTTTTAGTGATGCTTTAGTTTTGTCAAGCAAAGTCTGTGGTCAGTTAGCTGAACAGTATAAGCACTGTCTTCTGTTCATTCCAAGCACACTCCTTTGCACCTCTACTTACAGCTTTTGTGTGCCAAAAGATTGGAAATTTAGAGGCTCTTAAATCTTGGATTAAAATGTTTAGACTATTTTTCGGTCTGTGCTTTTATTCCATTTACAGGGTAGACCAGATAATACCTAAAACTTGCTTCTTTCATGAAGAGTATACTTCTGTCAAGATTGGTACATTTTTGTTGATATGTAGAATTTTTTGAATTTGTGAACTAATGCTGTGTAGTACTGTTTCTTCTCAGTTAAAATGTGTGTAAAAAGGTGTATTTATATATCCAATTTTGTATATTTTATATACACGTGAGTATATAATATATACAGTATATGCTTATGCTATATTACATATTTACATAGCTTATGTAAATATAAAATGTGTTATATATATTAAAATATATATACAGTTTTTGGAAATGTATTGAGAAAAAAAAGAATGAATGTCATGTGTGATAAAATAACAAACCAGTCAACTCCTTAATCAGATGTGGGATGCTTCTTAAAGGTACAACATGGACTAACTTTACTTCTGTATTTAAGTTCAAGACCAGGTCTTCACTGGTTGGTTGTCAGCACTGTGAAAACTCTAAATTGTTAGAGTCAGAAACCTTCCTGGTTGTACAGATGGGTTGGAAAGGAAATGCTTTTGCTATTTTGCATTACACGTATTCTAGAAGGCTTGTTTGTCTTAGTAAAATAAGAATTATATTTTAGACAAGGGTGAAAAAGGACAAGTGATTGCTAATTAGCAGGATTAGCTCATGTTCTGCGTCACATCTCCAGGATTTGATCCTCTGTGGTAGGAGAGCAGCTGTTACTATAATAATTTGTAGAAAGCTTGTTGTGTAGGAAGAGTTTTGAGCATCAAGACTCTACAGAGGGTGGAGAGTTGAATCCTATTTCACACAGCAGGTTTTCCTTTGCAGCAGCAGAAGGCTCCTTTGCAACTTTTTTTGCTAATTAAAAACGCCCAGAATTCAGTTGTCTGTCCCTCCTAGGCACACTTTGTTGTGTAGAGTCTCATGCAGGGTCCCTCTATTCTTCCACTAGTGTTTAAGGTGTGAAATACAATTCTGTATCTACTCAGCTCTACTTACCTCAGGACTTTTGAAGCTTCAGTTCCCTAAACATAGAAGTCGGTGTAATTCTCCTGTTGAATTTGAATCCAAAGCTGCTAGATCTAATAAATCATCAAGGTTAAGTAAAGTGGTAGCATAAGCTTGACTAAATCAAATAAGTCCAGCAGATATTACCTGTCAAATCTGTTAGCTCATGCATCTGTAATGTTTGTTTCTGCACACTTTAGTGGTTCTAAACATTAGGCTCCAAGTTGACTAAAATTGCATTAGTTTGAAATTTTTTGGCTTCAAGATCAAGTGCTCTTCACTTAAGTAAAAATCTAGAGAAAATCTCCACGTTCCACGCAGAACAATTTAGGGTTTTAATCTTTCATCTCCAGAATTTCTTGACTTCTGGTGCACATTTCAGGAGAGTACTTGATAAATTTCCTGAACTAGCTGTTCATGTTGCATCTGTTTAACATATCATGTGGTCTTTGTAGCATGAGTGGTACCCTGCTGTTCAGTGCAGCATGCTAGTTAGCTTGCTATGTGAATTTTATTTTGTTTTGGTGCCCTACCTATTGTACTGCTTAATATAGTAGTAGTAGTGGTACTATCTAACTATTGTTAGATGGAACTTAAGCAACTTAAATATGGAAGATTGTACATGCTAATCTTCCTTACAAAGTGTGCACATTTTGACATGTCCTATTGTAACTAATTTGTAGAGAAACTTCTAATAATTTTTAAGAAATCCTCCTCCCCCTTTTAGCTTTTCCTTTAACTCATGGCATGTTCCTAACAGAAAAATGCACAACTTGCAGAAAGCCTTATTTCTTACCTAAAAATATTTTGCTCAGTGGTGGGGGGACATGGAGGAGGGGAAGGAAAGCCACAAGGCGATTGGAATGGAGTTAGTTGGAGAATGGTGTACGTTTGAATGAGATGATAGCTACTGAGTAGCAGTTACAACTCTGAAGTTTAAACCCTATTCTCTTTCAGAATAACTTACTTGGCTTTGTAGGATTAGCCTTTATCACAAGGTGCTGTCTGTCCCACTTTATTGACCCAGAACTGTGGTCTTGCTAGCCAAATCTCCTCTGATCTGCGGGTAAGAAGCAGCAATCTGGGTGTGTGATGTTCTGAGCATAAACCTGACAGTGTTGCTGGATCTCAAACAGGGTTTTCTATTTGCTGCTGAGCAGCTGTACTGCTCTCTCGTCATAGGTAGAAATTCCTGAGGAAAACTTTAATTTTAGAGAAGCTTAACCTGGGTGTTAATAAATATTTTTGTCCTATTTGAGCAATCCTTTGACAGAAGATGTAGAGGAATTCCACTATTTTAGAATATTAATATCTGATTTGTCAACATAACACTTTGTTGTCTAAGTGTTTGAATATATAGGTAGGCAAACAGTTCGTAGGGAAGCAGTAATCAGCAGCCTGAGCTAAAAATGGAATATGGATAAACATAAGTTGTGTGGTAAAGAAAACTAAGTCATCCAAACTATATTCTAGAGACCAAAGATGCAGTTTCCAAAACACCTGAAACTGTTACTTTCAGGTCATACAAGTGTTTGACAATTAATTTACTTAAATTTCTCCCTGTGTTCTTTTCCTACTGCTCCACTTCTGAGCCTGAGGCCAAGCCATCTCCAAAGGGTTGCCTGGAACACAAAGCAGTTTGATACTCCTGTGGGGAGGAGATATCAGTTGCAGGATTTTAGGGGCTGTCATAGCTTGTGAGGACATGAGGTGTTGGCTGAAAATTACTGCCCTGTTAAAGGGACCCTGAGACCCCTCTTATTTTGTCCATGCAGTAGTAGTTCCAAATAACCATCTAGATGACTTGAACCCTTGTATTTTATTTGGTCTGTGAATTCTTACAACTCCTGGGTTAAGGAATGCCAGGAGAAATACCTGGACACTGCCTTTGGCAGAGTCTGCAGACAACAACTGGTAACAACAGTAGGTAATGTCCTTAACCAGCATAGCAATTTTTGGCCATGTTTCAATCTCTAGATTAGAAAGATGAAACTACTGAAGTGAGTGTCCTAGACTTGATGTACATCGTAAGCATAGAAATGCCCCTCCTGTTTTAGAAAGATAATGTGATCTCAGAGGACAGTATTTCAGTGCATTACTGCCTTCTTGTTGTTGTTCACGTTTTGTATTGAGTTGTTCTAGTAGGTTTAGGGGAACTTTGATACTACTTTTTATTTATTGCTTGTTTTCCCTTAGAGTGCTTAATGCTGTCCGGGTGGTACAGACGATGTAGAACTGCATCTGAAGTTTAAACCTAGTGCATATTATGTTGTTACTCCTGCACACACAGCTGCCATCAGGTGTTATTAATTACTTTTGGAAAGGGATTTTGCACCTGGAGTAACTAACTGTAATTGGAGGCTGCTGGGAGCAAAACCAAACGGGATTATTTGGCAGATACAGAAACAAAATATGATAAAACCGACTAAATTGCAACTTTAACATAAACTGACAAAGCAGTGTATTGCAAACAGAAGTTTTTAAGGTGACAGTATATAAAACAGGAACTTCTCTACCATTTCTCTTTTGTTTTGGAAGAGCAGTGCCTACCAGCATTTGAAATGGCTGTCAGCTGAATTGGGGATAAAGTTGTCTAAGTACAAAGGAGTTAAAATTGAATGGAAGTTTAAAAAAAGAGAGGAGATTTAAAGGGAGGATAATTCAGTCCTTTCACTGGTTTCCATGCACCTTCATTTTGAACTGATGATGACTTTCAATAACAGGATTATTGGAAGTATCTATTCCAAGTGAAAATATTTCCATAAAATTTAATTTTTTACTTTTCTGGATAAGTCTTCATTGGAAGGATATGTTTTCCGTTGTAGCATGTGCCTAGATGCTCTTACCTGTCCATTTGCCTTCATTAATAGTATGCTTTTGCTTTTGTCAACGCTGCCAGAAAGCATGGTATGAATGTGTTAATGGAACTGCTTGTTTGGTGTTAAACCTCCCTTTCTCTTCCTTGCACTGGATGGGACTGTTAATACCCTTTATCAGGTCCTATTTCAATTGACATGATAATGGCTCCCAAATCCCACCCCTGCTGCTGCTCACCCCCTCACCCACGGACACCTCTTGCGGCATGTCTCACATTGTGTTTTCATCCTTCCCTTCTGTTTGTCCTAGATAAGTCCTTTTTACCTCATCAGGTTTTTAAATGTGCCAGATGGGACTGATATTCAGAGGGTGTGGATGATAGGGTTCAGTGTGTTCTGGGTTAAAAGGCAGCGAGGATTCCTTGACTGCTGATGGTTTGAAGCAAGAGACTTGCAGTACTGCTCACTGTTAACTGCTCACTGTAAACTTAGTTTAGGAGATGTTATCAAGTCTTTCCACAGGGTTTTGTTCTTATTAAAGTAGAGTCACATTTCGGTTTGGCCTGTTGGCAGCATTCTCACTTAGTTCATGGTGAAACAATGAAGCGAGAGAAACCAACCCTGGACCTCACAAGTCTGATCTAACTCTGAAATCAGCACTTCTTTGGGCAGAGCCTGGCTTAGATAACCTTCACGTAGCTTGATCCTAAGAAGTGGGTTGCTTAGATCCCTTTTGCAAGCTGAGATGCTACTTGAAGGCAGGTTGATAGTACCCTGCAGTACAGCTTCACAGTTGAAACTTCAAAAGAGAGCTTTAAGTAGAAAGGAATAAAAATGAATGCACTAAAACTATGGTAAATAAATTAAAAGAAAAATAGAACTTAACAAGTTCAAATTCAAATAGAACTTAACAAATTCAAAGCCTTTTATTAGAAAGACTTGTTGTTGTAGGCATGTAACTTCAAGGTCCTTGTTTAAATTGCATGTAGTTGCTGCTTAGGCTTTTTGACTGTACATTGTCAAAATACTAATAGCCTTTTTTAACTTTTTGCAGGTGTGTACAGAGTAATATTGTGTTGCTTACTCAAGCTTTCAGGAGGAAGTTTGTCATTCCAGATTTCATGTCGTTTACTTCCCATATTGATGAGCTATATGAAAGTGCGAAAAAACAATCTGGAGGAAAGGTAACGTGTTTATAAATTCAATTTCAGACTTCTGCATGTTCCTTGATATTAGCCAAATCCATTATTTGTTAAGTTGACAGATTTTTCTTAACACTTCTAGCAGTGTTAAACTGATAACTTGATAAGAGTTTTGGAAGTTCAGTTATGTCTGCAAGTTGTGAACTGTTTTAGAAATACAGCTCATAACCCTTAACAATCTTGTAGAGTTTTGACATTGCAATCTGAAAACGGCACTGTTCTGCCTTGATTTTACACAACCTGTAAAACTGCTGTATAATTTATCAGGCTACACTAAGTCTATAGAAGAATTATTCACCTCTACATAACTAGCTGGCTTGTGTGACAGAAGTGACTATCAACACTGTACCTTGGTTAGTAAATAAAGTTTATTCTAATGCTTCTTTTCAATACATTAATTGAAAAATCCCAGATGGTTACTATTTGAAAATGCTGAACATGCTGTAACACAGATTCCTCTTAGATGTACTGAAATTTTTGCTTTGAAAAAATGTTTTATTTGATAATGATCTAGTGAATAGAAGAATTTGTATTGAAGTTTTAGATATGCCTGGTAATTACTACTGGAATAGCTCAGTTAGAGCTTATGTGTCCTTTCCATTGACATTTATTTTAATTAACATAGAGTTAAATATTTTGGATGTTGTAATGTCTCTCTTTCTATCTCACACTGTGTCAGGTTGCTGACTATATTCCACAACTGGCCAAGTTCAGCCCTGATTTGTGGGGTGTTTCGCTTTGCACCGTCGATGGACAGAGGTATATTGTAACTTCTAGGTTTTGCTGTTGGAGTATTTAAAGGGCAGTATAGAGACAGTGTTTCTGTAGTGTTTGGGAGTTGAAGAGCTTTGTCTAATAGTACCTGTGTGCCAAGCTATATTATTTTTGGTATAGGTCACAATGTACTTAAGAGATAGTCCCTTCCCTGCATTTTAATGTTTTTGCTGTAGCATTAATATATAACCTGTATGTGTCACTGAAAAAATTCAGATCCAGGTTCTTTAAAAAGAAAATGAAGGTGTGGAAACTGGACAGAACTTAGTATGATTTTGCTTTTCAGGTTTATTAAGCTTTCTCCCGTAAGGGTGTGTGTAAGTCTTAGATATAATCAGAGTGATTTTACGTTTATTATTTTATTAGTAACTCAGTGTAGTGGAGACGATTAGAGGCCTAAGATGTAAAGGGATATCTCACACCATCTAGCTGAGGAGTAACATGAGCTCTGTGCCTACCTTTGGCTAGACAATGTGAGATGCTCATCAGCTTGAGTGTCTGCTGGTCTGTGCTTTGCTTTGGTGTGGTCATACTGCATGT